TAATGGGTAAAGAAGCAATTCTTAGTAGGTTTTCATTTGTTTGGCTAGAAGGGTGTTTGGATGCTGAGAAAATGTTTTTTGTTTGAACATGGCAAAACGTTTTGTCCATGGCAAAACGTTTTGTCCATGTCATCACTTTTTTAAATTTTGTGCTTCACATCATCAAAAAGAACATAAAAAATGCCACATGTGTGAAGTTAACGGCCCAAATTAACAGAAAGACTAACGGTGTGCATTTGTTAGAGTTAAGTGATCAAAAAAGTGAAAAAAATTGTTGAGGGATCAAAAATGTGGGATCAAAAATGTGTATTTCTTAAAATTAAGGGACCAAATTTAGCATTTAACCAATTTAATAATATATAGCCAATGATCTAAGTAGTTAAGGGATAATCTCTTGCATTTGAATTATATGATATATAAGTATGGCGGATTAAGAGATGAGAGAGTTATCTTTTATTATGTAACTCAAGATTTAAAAAATAATGTATATAAACAACAATTAAAATTTTTTTCTTTGTATATAGTTCTTGTTAAATATTTTTATTTGATAAAAATATTTTTAATTATTATTTATATAATATGTTAAATTTTTATTTAAAATTTATGTTCTAAAAGTAAAAGGGTTAAACTATATTTATTAAAAATGAATGAGGAAGTATATATTGTAATTATCTATTAAAACAAGAATAAAATTAAGAATGAATGTATTAAATAATATCATAAAAAAATAAACAATTAAATTTAAATATTCTAAATAAAAAATTAAATAGTTAATATTTATTATTTAATATATTAAAAAATATCCATTTGATATTTAGATATCCTAACTAACTGTTTTAAAAAAATAAAATTTGTGTGGACTTACCATCCAATCCCGTAGTAATATTTGGGGTGATTTAAGTGTATATTTGATTTGGGGGGACGGAAAACAATTTCACTATTTCATTGTGAAAAATGATAAAAATGATGAATTTTTTGAAACAAAAATTTGGGATTAATGATTTGGTTTGAACCATATTATTTAAAATATTAAAAGATAAATATTATATTATTTAATAATGTGTTCTTTTATTTTATTAAAACTAATAATATTATATTTATCAACTCATTTAATAACTTGTCTTATGTTACATTATTTGATGAGTTGAATATATACACATATTAATATGAAATTTCTAACTTAATATTATTAATATTTAGATGAGTTTTATAAGATTTACTTGATTTTATATAATTTTTATTATTTGTGTAGAAAAAGACTTATTTGAAAGAAATCATAACTTTTACCACCAAATAACAGAGATCAGAAAGCTGATGATTAAGTTGGACGAAATTCAGAAGTTAAAGACCAGAACTCTAATTTTGCCATTAACCATAATAAAGAACGAAATTTTTCTTTGCTGATACACTGAAGGTGTCAGCACCTTCTTTAGGGTATCGATCCCTTGGGATTTTCATCAAATTACACTCAATCTTTAATATTTTTGTGTGGTCCCTGTTTATTCTAATTAGATTTTTTTAAATCCTATAAATACTCATTTAATATCACAATGGAAGAAAGCCTTAGACGTTGAGGATATCCTCTTTTTGAGTACTTTTAGAAATCAAAATAAAGAATTCATCAACAATAAAAAAAAAACTAAGGATTTCAACTTCCTTAAATCAAGTATTTTTTCTTAAATTATTTTTATTCATTGTTTAATATTTTTATATTCATAACTATAATTTCAAGTTTTATTACTTTTATTATAAACAGATTTAGCTAACTAAGATTACTATATGCCTAATCAATTTAACATAGGTTTTTGTGATTTTTATACTTTTGAAATTACTATTTCATGATAAGTATGTATTATTACTTTTAATGCTTTTTAATTCTTGATCACCATTAAAATTGATATGAATAATGCAATTACATCTACTAATATATAGCATGAATTGAATGAAAGTTAAAGATGGACCAACATGATTTGCAGTATATTAATGATATGTAGACTTAATTTTTTACGTAAATTAAAAAAATCTCACATAACATAATGTATCTTTATCGATTTAAATTCACATAGAGATATAATGCATTAATTAGGTGTAGATATGTTTAGTATAATTTAAGAAAGTATATTGAATAGGAAAAAAAATCCTATTGTCACATGACTAATAATATTTTAAAAGTATAATAATCTAAAATCTATATTAATACGGTGAAGTCGATCTTTTAATATCTTATGTTTTGGTTAGTTTTATATTAATTATTATTTTCTTATCAATGTTTTTTTAATTAAAATTTATTCCTTTTCAATTATTTAAATAAATCTAGATTAATTACTTTTGGTACTTAGTTAATCACAGTCCTTATAGATTTGACATTTTTCTCATCATTGTATTATTTGAAGCAACTAATACATTTCCCAAAGTGATGTTAGTGCATCATTAGTCTAAAATTTTAAACCTAAATTTCCATCCTTTATAACATTACTCTTTCATAATTTAGTTGAAAAAAAAAAATAGAGGGTGAGGAAGGGAAGTCTTTATTTTTTTTTTAATTTCTTGGATTTTTTTTTTAAACTTACTACCATAAGTATTAGTCATTACTAACTATATTTGTCTTAAAACAACCATCAATTATTTTCTTTTGAGTTTATTTTAAATTAATCGTTATTTTTTTATCTTTTAGGCTAAATAAATATTTTATTCCTAGTTTAACCTCATCATTACTTTTTTATTTTGATTAATTATCTATCACAAATAATCTCACTTTATTTTTCAACTTTTTTTGAAATATAATAGAGATAAATATATAAATTATTTTTAAATCCTTAATTTAGAAAAAAAGTAAAAATATGACAATTATTTTGAATAGAGAAATTTTAAACTTACACCCTCAACCTATTGGGACAAGATTTATAACCAAGGTGCACAATTAGATATTGAGGAAATATTCAAATTTCCAAACTAAATTTTTGGATTTTGGTTCAGATAGTTTGAATATTTGAATAAATTTAGATAAAATGGAAGTATGTAGAATTAATTTTAGTTTAGATATAATTATTAATCCATATATAAAATTACCAATATAAACTATAAAATTATATGAAAATTTTTAATATTAAATATTATAAATTTTTAGAAAATAATAATTATTTTTTTGTCAAATTTGTAGATAGGAATCCAAAAGAAAAAGATTTAAAAAATCAAAACTGAAAAGAAAAAGGTTTTAATAACTAACAATGAAGAATAATGCGACATAATTTAGTGGTAGGTACATTTTGAATATTATTGAAATATCCAAATTTTCAACCTTAATTTTTGATTTTTTTTTTGATATTTGGATAAATTCAAATAAAACTAAAGTGACTAAAGTTAATTTCGGTTTAGATTCGTCCACACTCTCCACTAGTATCCAAGAGTAGCTTAAAAGAGATATTCAATCCTTTTATAATGTGCTTTTCATTCAAATACTTCTTTTTACAAAGATCCCCAGTAAACCTCATTTGATTTCTATCTTAAAGGTTTCACTTACCCTCAAGTATTACTTCTTAGAGCTTCACTTGCTCCCAAGATCACAAAGAAAGGGTAGAAAGAAAGATTACAAAGGATATGATCTATCAAAGATCTAATTTGCAAATGTGTCACACCCCAGACCTTGAAGTGGAATAGACAATGTACACTTATGAGTGGGACCTACAAGTGCACAAGGCTTAAAACTAAGTTAATTTATTATGCAAGGTCAAAAATTAATAATTAAAGTATGAAATACCTCAAATATTATTAAAAGTAAAGTAATATTCAAATAAATACCTCTAAGTCATATCATGCAATAATTGCTAACTTGGTCCTCTAACTTTCTAATGTCGATATATAAGTCCAAGAACTAAATCAAGTCTCAATTAAGTCCAAACTAAATCTAATAAGAAACCATCACATCTCTTAATCCTCAACATCTCTAGCATTGTTACCTAAAATGGTGAACAAGAAAAAATATAAGATATAATCCTAGTAAGTGAATATTAGGTTCCTTTTTTTTTTTTTTTTAATTAAGCATACCACAAGTATAAATCAAGTCTCGACTAAATAGGTATAGGTATAAGTAATGAAATAGACGTCTCCTCTATAAGTCATGACCGGTGTTTATAAACCACTCACAAACAGGCATAAGATTACTAGTATATAATCCCACAAGCAAGATAACAAGTATAATAAAAAATGAATTGGTTCTACAAGTTGTTGACGACCAACTTAGGATTTCAAATTTTAAAAAAGGAAAATAAATAATGAAAAATTAAGTGTGAAAAAAATATAAAAAGGAGTTGCCACTAGTCCAAATTACAAAGTGGGACAAGTCACCTTAAAACGGGTCTACAAAAATATCAGGGTTCAAAGATTCGATTAGGAGTGAGGAATGACATATGCGCACCTTACAATCCTCTGGTTAAACATAGTTGCATATTTTAACATTGGGATTTTAATTCAACTCATTCATTAACATTATATTTAGGTCTTAATAAGCAAGCTTGAAAAAGGGATAAACCACATTGCAACATTTTCAAACTTTTTGACAAAAATGGACAAAATCAAGAACATGCATGCACCATGAGCACAAATAAAAATTAAAGGGACTAATATGATAAAATTCAAAAATATGGAGGATTGATTTGAAAAGATTTGAGACCTTTGGACTAAATTGCTTAATTATAAAAAGTTCTAAGTGAAATTTAAAATAAACAAAGATAATTTTGACTTTGACCAAGGTTAAAGAAAATAAAAGATTGAAATTAATTAATTATGATAATTAATTTAATTAAATGATTAATTTAATTTTAATTAAAGTTAATTAAAATTAATTAATCATATTTATCAATCTCTAATCAAGATAATTAAATGAATCTAATTATCTCTAATTAAAATCAATAAACATGATTAATTAAAATTAATTAAATTCATTAATCAGGAATTAAACTAATTATCCAATCAATTAGTTTGTTTTATTTATATATATATATTTTTCCTTTTTTTTTTTTTTTGGATTGGATCGGGTCGTTGGCCCAGAAACACAAAACCAACTACCAAAATATGCCAAAAACAGATCAAACATTAATCATTCATTAACATAGACAAAGGAAACCACTAAAATCCACTCAAATTCAATTCCATGAAATTCAACAGAACATGTTTGATTTTTCCATTCACAATATCACCATCTGATACAATTCCAGTACATTAAATCTAAAGAAATTGAAACAAACATGGCGGAAGTTTTCAGGAGAAGACAGATTCAGATTGGAAAGAGGGATCCCACCCACAGGATCAAGCTCCATTCGTCTCCCTCATTACCTTTCCCAAAAATCCCTTTGTTTAGAAAATTACCTATGGCAGAGCAAATCGGGAGCCAAACATAGATATGCAATTTCTCGTACCCTCTTTCGCTTTCTACTCTTTTGCCTCTTAACGGCAAGTTGTTACAGGACTGGAAATAAGACAGCTGATGTGGCAGGGGGTGTGCTTAAGTGGACGGTTCTTGATGATGTATGTAGATGATGATGCATGAGATATGATGTGTGTACAAAGAGTAGCTATAAAGCTCATTCTTGTAATAGAATTGGTTATCGAAAGTGGATACATTGTTCATTCCTTTAGTTTCTCTCTTCTCTTCTCATCCGTTCTAAGACTTTGTTTCCCATTTCACCTTCCTTCTCGATTCTTTTCTCATCTCTATCTCTTGATTCTTTGTGGATTGTTGACTGGGTTATATCATTTGGTATCAGAGCTCACGACCTCCGACCTGTGGCTACGACGATTAGTGAGTTCTTCTTCTCTATTTCTCTCTCCTTCCCCAATTTCTTTTCTAAACCCTAATTCTCTATCTCTTCAGTTCTTATTTCTCCTTCTTGATCAGATTCCAAATTTATTTTTCATATGCAAAATTTCAAAAAAAATAAATATATATATAGAACACAATTTCTTAATTCATCTCATTGATTTCCTTGTGGAAAAACCTAGTTCTCCCATTTCCAAATTTCTTGTCCAGTATGAAAATGGTGGTAAATCCATGGGTGCAAGAACAGATACAAAAAGAATGTGGGTTCAATGAAGTAGAAGAGAATTTCTTGAGGACTCTGAGTTGGAATGACCATGATTCTCACCAAGAAACCATTGTAAGGAATTTCGGTCCCAATTTTGCATCAGATTACTTTAGCAGTGTAACTAGATTATAAAGAACTAGTTTTCCCCAATTTGATGGAATTGGAGATCTTAAGTTGTGGGTGTTTAGATGCAATCAATATTTTCATGTCCATAAAATTGCTGAAAAATTCAAGTCCCTAACTGCTAGTTTGCATTACAATGGTTAGGAATTTACATGCAAAACAGGATACAATGGCCTTCTTGGTATGATTTTTGCCAAGATTTATATGCAAGATTTGTTGTGGGTGTTTATGGCTGTGATGTGAATTTTGTTGATTTCAAAATGATGATGAAAATGGTGAAACAAGAAGGCTCGATTGAGGAGTACATTGAGATATTTGATTATTGGGTTAATATGACATATTTGTTAGTGTTAAGAAGTGACATGCTGGATTTCTTTCTCAATGGGTTGAAAGATGATCTTAAAATTCTGTTGGTTTTAAAATGTCCTCAAACACTTCAAGCTACTTATATGTGTGCTGAATTTGAAGAGATTTCCCCTAAGTACTTCAAGCATAGCTCTGTTTCTTTCAATGGTCTTACCATCCAAGATGGACTTTATAAGACAAAACTCCTATTGACTGAAGAACCTAATGCTAATGACCAGGATATGCAACAGAAGGTAAGCACAAATTGTGACATTCGATTAAATGTTGAATTTGAAGATTTGAGTGAAGAAAATTTTAACATTCTGAATAATAATGAGTCTGAGAATGAGTTTAGAGGTGGCATAAGTAATGAAAATGTTTAGAAAGTGTGTAATGAAGTTGATTTAGTTGATGAGCAAATGACTCCAAGGCTACACACAGAAACTATTGAATTGGAGGTCGAAAAGTTTTATTTCTCAAGTTTTGATGTCCATGAGACAGTACTTGAAGGTGAGCAAATAAGAGTGCAAGGCAAGAAAGTGGATAAGGGTGTTAGTCTACAAGCTAAATTGGTGGACAGAGGCATTCACTAGAATTTCAAGAAGAGAAAAAGGAAAATGATTTACAAGGTGCTTGTAGTGACTATTAATTGGAAAGGAATGTGTGATGATACTTAAAAGCAAAATTTTGTGTTTGTTGTGAATTTTCTAAGAAAAATACCAATATATGTGGATATCAAGTGGTATGTTGACAAATCAAAAATGGCTTTGTTGGCCAGAAAAAGAAACTTGATATTCAATAAGATGGCAATAGTGTGGTATACATTGTTAAGGTTGTCTTCCAGAACTTTATTAGAAATGTGCAATGTGTGAGCAATGCTCCAAGGGTTACCAACTATACAATTTGTATTGGAGACTTTAAATACAAAGAAGAAATGTAGAATGGTCCACAGTTGGCTGATATTAGTACAAGAAGACAAGTGGCTAAGGATGTGTTACAGAAGTGCAAATCTGGTTTTGTGAATTTCACCCTTAAAGACAAGGGTTGTTTAGGGGAGGGGATTGTTACAGGATTGGAAATAAGATAACTGATGTGGCAAGGGAAGGGCTTAGGTGGACGGTTCTTGATGATGTATGTAGATGATGATGCATGAGATATGATGTACGTACAAAGAGCAGCTATGAAGCTCATTCTTGTAATAGAATTGATTATCCAAAGTGAATATAGTTTTCCTTCCTTTAATTTCCTTCAGTTTCTCTTTTCTCTTCTCATCCCTTCTAAGACTCTGTTTCTCATCTCACCTCCCCTCTTGATTCTTTTCTCATCTCTATCTCTTGATTCTTTGTGGATTGTTGACTAGGTTATATCATTAGCCTGGAAGATTCCTTCTCTTTTATCTGTCTAAACAATTATGGTACCTCCTCTAGATAGTTGCTGATTGTTAGAAGATCAAGATATAGAGTTTTCAGACCTTTGCAGCCATTCTTGATAGTGATCGGTGATGATGGACTGAAGGGAGGAATGGCCGACAAAGATGGTGACTGATTGAAGCTAGGGAATTGGAGAAAGGCTAATGGTGGTGAGAAAAAGGAAACAGAAACAAGGATTTTTTATCTGGTGGCTACTCTCCTCTTCTCGCCAAAAACCAAAACTGCTTCATCTTTTCTCTTTTTCTTTTTTTCTTTTTTGGCTACTTGGTGATGACTATGAGGATGGTGATGATGGTGACGATGATGGTGACGATGATGATAGCGATGACAGTGACAGTGACGATGATGATGGAAAATGAGGGATGAAGATGAGCGAAGAGGATAAGAATTGAGAGGCTTGTTTTTTTTTTTTTTTTTTTTTTTTGTCTACCGTCCCCCACTTTGCTTTGGTCCTTTCCTTTCCCTTTTAAAGAGAAAAAAAACAAGGGTTTTTGTTGGCTTTGGGCCAGAGTTACCAATTTCGTACTGTACCAGTTTTTTGCATTGACTGTCACACCCTAGAACCCAAATTCGGGGACGTGACAGACGCCGTGCACTCGTGAAAGGGTCCCACAAATGCACAAGGCTCGAAACTTATCAAACTACAATCTAATACAATCAAAATCTGAAGATAAAATTATAAATTTTCTCTGATATCATAAAATCTCCAAATACAGTCTAACTTACAAGATCATGATTTATATCTAAATCTATGTTCAGTTTCGAAATGGCTAGCCTTCTAACTCGTCACTTCCCGTGGTTTCCCCGTCCTCGGTTTCGCTTACTGAAATGGTGGACAAGGAAAAACTATGAGATAACTCAGTAAATAAATATGGAGTGCCCCTTATTAAACTTATAGCATGCCAACAAGTGTAATCACGAAAACAAGTACGAGTACAGAACGAAATAGACGTCTCCTCTGTAGGTCATGGCCAGTGTTATAAACATCCCACTGACGGGCACAGTAGTAACCAATGTTTTATCCCATTGGCAGGATTTCAGAATAAACCGGTCCTATCAATAAACATGTCGACATGTGCTACCGTTTATAAACCTCCCACTAGCGGGCACAGTAAAACATGACCATATTGGAGACAAAACAGGCAGAATTTGACAGAAAATCATACTTTACAGATAATTTTCAGATCATCTAGGCAGTTAAATAAACTCCAAGCAGGCATGCTCAAATCAATAAAAAGAATAATAATCTTATTTCAAATCTATCATGCTCATTTTTGTATAAAACGGGTTTAGTCCCATTACCACTTCAAAAACAAGTTAAAATATACTTTTAAAATCAAAGGGCCTTATCATAATTTACTTACCTCACTCGCATAAAACCGAAGACTCGATGTCAGTGCTAAACTGACAGAACGATCAGGAACCTAATCAAAATATTCAAGGATTAATTCTATACTATCACAAATTCAAAGTAAAACTTCATTAAGATCACCCTTAATCACGATGCTATTTCTATCAATCTCTACATGACCAGACATCTCCAAATTTATTCTTATATTACAAACTAAACATTTAAATCCCCGTTAATTGTTGGCCATAAGTGCGTGAACAGTGCCGGTGAACAGAATCCATAAACAGTACCTCGTGAACAATAATCACGCAATGAACAGTACTGCACTTCCAAAAATTGGCCAAACACTAGCTAATTCGCGGGATTTTTCTCCAAAAATCACACAGCAGTCAATTAACACTCAATCACATAAATTCCACTTGAATCAATGCTTAAACTTTATCCTAAAGCTACCGGAATTTCCCCATTTTTCCAGCAAAATTCGGACACACAAGGCAGCAAATAAAAGCAAATAAATGGACAAATTCAGGGCTTGGAGGGCTATCAACATACCAGAATTTTCCTAGCACAACCGGACTGCAGTTTGGGGAGGAGGCCGGTGGCAGTGCAGGAGAATTTTTAAAAATGCCTAGAATTCGCACCCACAAACCAGCAAGAGCAGCAACCGGACGGACAGAGCAAAGCAGATCCGAATTTCTGCAGAGAGGGGGGGAATTTCTGGGTTCAATTTGTGTTCTAGAGCAAGAAAAGAAGGAGAAATTCCCAAGCTTTTACCGGTTTTGCTTCAAGGGAGGGCTGCTGGCAGCTTGGGGGCTTTGTTCGGTGCAGGGGGAAGAAAAGAAGAGCAGGCACGCGGGTGAGGAAGAAGAAAGAAGAAAAAAAAATGCCAGCCGATACTTATCCAAAATCTTTTCCCTTTTTAAGTCCCTCAACTTAGCAAATTTTGCTATTAAGCCCCAACATAATATTTCCTCTCATAAAAGTCCTTAACTCACACTTATTTATTCTAGAAATTTTTGGGGTATTACATCCACCCCTCCTAAAAGGATTTTGTCCCCAAAACTCAAATTGAGGATCATTTCAAGTGGTGAATGGCGTCACCCATTCCAAGACAAAACAAATGCTCCACCAACTTTTCACGATCAGAACCTAGCCTACTACGCTTCCACTATGCCACTCTGATATCAAACCACAACTAATCATAAAAGCAAAACATTAACTACTTAACAGAATTTACCATGAAACAAGCTACTAGAGGCTGGGGTGATATGAAAAGCACAAGGAATAAAATAAATCCTGCCAAAGCCACAAAAGAACAATTGTGGGGTTATGCTACGAACCCAACACAAGACGAGTTGGCAAAGAATGGCATGGATTTAAAGACGAGTACAACAAAACTTGAACTTTATCAACGATGGATAAGCATCCAATGGATATACGGATCATGAATGAATGAACAAGTGCATGGATGCCTTATAAATTCTGTCACAAAACAAGGATGATAAATAAGCAAGATCATGTTTAACAAAACAACTGGAATCAAGAAACAGATTTTAGCAATTAACAAGAGTTAAAAGCTAGACCCATCAAATGACATGTGAAATTTTTAGAATATCATTACAATGAAATCAGTGGAAAATATGATTGCTTGGAAGAATATTGGAACATAAGAGTGCAAGGTAGAATGCCTCAAAAATTAAGCAACAAAATGGCATTCACCAAGAATCAAGATCAAATTTAATCAAGCAGTCAAAATTGAGAGACAAGAGTTAACCATGAAACAAGCAATAGAATTCAAGGATTAGACCCACAAAAGAGATTTCAATAATGACAACCAGAACACGAATTCAAGAGCAGATATAACCAGGATGTTAAGATCTAACACCCCGAGTAACACGAATTAATTAACAGAATACTCAATAGTGAGGATTAGGATACTTAGAAGATTACTGTCTTCTAATTAAAAGGGCAAACAAAAATTTAAAGCAACCAGACAAAAGAACCATTTCTCTTCGAGCAAAACTCTAGGGCATTAGGTACTTCAAAGACTACGCCTTCACCTCGTAGCCCATGGAAGCTAAGCAGATTTACAGTCAAGTCATCCTAGACATCCTAGAGTCAAGTCAAAGCTAAGGCATCAAGAATACAAAGATTAACACTTGCAAGAGACAAAAATTAGGATACCTCATATAGGTATTTTCTTATAATCATCACCCCTCCTAAAGAGGTGTCCATATGAACAAAATCAAAAATCAAGAAGATCAACAGGTATACTAAAACAAGAACTAGCAAAATATTCAGAATTTGAGCAAGAGCAAGGGTCAGGACAAGAATGGTTTTCAAGGACAACTCAAAATAGATTCCAAAACCCAAATATCAATTGATTTTCAAGAAAAGGATGCTAACATGACTTTACTCCAAGCAAGGCTCGAGATAAGATTCCAAGAACGATGCAAGAAATAATTTCAGACAAGTATCAAGATAATGAGGATTTTAATAATCATTATCCATTTCCTTTGAATCTCAGTTTCAAGAACAAGTACAAAGCAATCTCAAGAAAGATTCAAGATGGATTTCAAGAGTTTCAAGTAGTTCTAGGTATCAAGAATGTAGAGATTAGCAACAATAGAGAGTTTAACTTTATGACAACTTGCCAATCTTCACAAAAACATGGCAATTTCAATTGAATGATCACTGTTTTTGATTAACCAATATAGAAAAATGAGCCACATGAAAAGACCACGAAGCTCCAAATGGAAAAAGTGAAACTTTACTATAAGATGTATAGAAAGATAATGAGCAACGAAATTACCAAGTTATCCAGCCCCTAAAACGCATCTAGAAAACACACAACATTTACTAAAATTGCCTTGAATCTCTTACAAAGTAAAGGGTTTGCCCATCCTTCACTGGTCACATGACAAACAGAACAAATTCTCGACCAGCTATGCTGTAGAGACCAACAGGATCAATAACAAAAATCTCCGCAACTCCCCAAATTTTACAATGGTGGCAAAAGAGCATACAAAAATTATGTTCAAGTAATAAGTTTAAACAAGTGCAGACTATCAAAAAATGACCAAGTTTCAAAACAAGGTCTTAAGAACATGGCAGACAAGATTAATTTCATGAATATACACAGGGTATGAAGGCAGGAAACAAGAACAATCAAATTACCATCTCATCAAAATAGATTAGAAAATTCAAGCAACATGAATCAAAATCATCCCTTATATAACCCCATCACTCGTCTCACCACAGTTCTAAAATCCATTTGCTAGCCAAGTCCTAAACAAATCCTAGCTATTCAATTAAACCTAGGTATTTTATTAAACATGAGCTTTGATACCACTCAATTCGGAGGTGCTTAATTTAATCCTAAGTTCTTAATTTAAACCTAAGCTCTGATACCACTAAATCTGCTCTAATGCCCTAGAACCCAAATCCGAGGATGTGGCAGACGCCGTGCACTCGTGAGAAGGTCCCACAAATGCACAAGGCTTAGAACTTATCATACTACAATCTGATACCATCAAAATCTGAAGATAAAATTAAAATTTTCTCTGATATCATAAAATCTCCAAATACAGTCTAACTTACAAGATCATGATTTATATCTAAATCTATGTTCAATTTCAAAATGGCTAGCCTTCTAACTCATCACTTCCCGTGATTTCCCTGTCCTCGGTTTCGCTTCCCGAAATGGTGGATAAGAAAAAACTATGAGATAACTCAGTAAGTAAATATGAAGTGCCCCTTATTAAACTTATAGCATGCCAACAAGTGTAATCACGAAAACAGGTACGAGTACGGAACGAAATAAACGTCTCCTCTATAGGTCATGGCCAGTGTTATAAACCTCCCATTGGCGAGCACAGTAGTAACCAATGTTTTATCTCATTGGTAGGATTTCAGAATGAACCAGTCGTATCAATAAACATGTCAACATGTGCTAGCGTTTATAAACCTCCCACTAGCGGGCACATTAAAACATGACCATATCGAAGACAAAACAGGCAGAATTTGACAAAAAATCATACTTTACAGATAATTTTCAGATCATCAGGGCAACTAAATAAACTCCAAGCAGGCATGCTCAAATCAATAAAAAGAATAATAATCTTATTTCAAATCTATTATGCTCATTTTTGTATAAAACGGGTTTAGTCCCGTCACCACTTTAAAAACAAATTAAAATATACTTTTAAAATCAAATGGCGTTACCATAATTTACTTACCTCACTCGCACAAAACCGAAGACTCGATCTCAGTGCTAAACTGACAGAACGATCAGGAACCTAATCAAAATATTCAAGGATTAATTCTATACTATCACAAATTCAAAGTGAAACTTCATTAAGATCACCGCTAATCACGATGCTATTTCTATCAATCTCCACATGACCAGACATCTCCAAATTTATTCTTATATTACAAACTAAACATTTAAATCCACGTTAATTGTTGGCCATCAGTGCATGAACAGTGCCGATGAACAATATCCATGAACAGTAATCACGCAATGAACAGTAACTGCACTTCCAAAAATTGGCCAAAACACTAGCTAATTCGTGGGATTTTTCTCCACAAATCACATAGCAATTAATTAACACTCAATCACATAAATTCCACTTGAATCAATGCTTAAACTTTATCCTAAAGCTACCGGAATTCCCCCATTTTTCCAGCAAAATTCGGACACACAAGGCAGCAAATAAAAGCAAATAAATGGACAAATTCGAGGCTTGGAGGGCTGTCAACATACCAGAATTTTCCTAGCACAACTGGACTGCAGTTTGGGGAGGAGGCCGGCGGCAGTGCAGGAGAATTTCTAAAAATGCTCAGAATTCGCACCCACAAACCGGCAAGAGCAGCAACCGGACGGACAGAGCAAAGCAGATCCGAATTTCTGGGTTCAATTTGTGTTCTAGAGTAAGAAAAGAAGGAGAAATTCCCAAGCTTTTACCGGTTTTGCTTCAAGGGAGGGCTGCTGGCAGCTTGGGGGCTTTGTTCGGTGCAGGGGGAAGAAAAGAAGAGCAGGCGCGCGGGTGAGGAAGAAGAAAGAAGAAACAAAAATGCCAACCGATCCTTATCCAAAATCTTTTCCCTTTTTAAGTCCCTCAACTTAGCAAATTTTGATATTAAGGCCTAACATAATATTTTCTCTCATAAAAGTCCTTAACTCACACTTATTTATTCTAGAAATTTTTGGGATATTACATTGACCAAAACAATATAATATGAAAATCTGTTTCACTCAAAATCCGGTGTACCGGCCAAAATTTCGACGTATCGACCGGTACATCAAAATTTCGATAGATACATATTGGCAAATTGAAAAAAAAAAAAAAAAAAGGGATTCCCTTGCCCAAAACGATGTCGTTTTGGGCTAGGGGCTTCTTAATCTTAATTACCCTACAATTGCATTTTCAAATCCTGTCTTCAACCTAGGATCCTCTTGAATCGTTCTAGCAAGTGATGGATTCTTTACCAATAGGATCAAGCTAAGCTTCCCCTTTTGAAGCGACTATCATGAAGTGTTGAATAATTCCAGCAAGTGTAGATCCTTCACCAATAAGGTCAGGTTGAGATTCCTTTTCTTCCTTGCCCCAGTAGGCCAAATTCTACAAAACCACAAAAAGAAGTCTCATAAAAACTCTAAATTATCACCCATAATGAAAGAAAGGAAGAAAAAGGGCTTAATTCAATTTTTAGTCTATTAACTATCAGCTTGATTTCATTTTAGTCTAAAAAGTTTAGTTTCTTTCTAAATGGTCTATAAACTTTGGAAATATTTCAAAATAGTCTACCAGTATTAGATTTAACTAAAAGAGTAGTCTTTTAAGTTTTGAAAAAGTGACATTATAATCATAATAAAATATGATGACTCAAGACATATTTTATAGAGATAGATTAGTTAAAATTTGTAATAAACGTGAACAGCTAGTCTGTTTTACATGATAGATTGTATGCAATCTATCCTAAAAAATTATTTAAATGTTCCTAAAAAATAATATAAAAATAAAATTAAGGGCATTTAAATAATTTTACAAGACAAACTGCATACAGTCTATTCTGTAAAATAGTTTTCTGAAGAACACATTTAGCAAGATAAGATTAAAAACTATTTTTATGGTGAATATAAATTTAAGGACTAAAAGATCAAAAAAAATATAGTTAGAGAACTAAATATTTTGTTAAAGAATAAGAAGATTCCATTAAAGATAACGAATATTTCGGTTAAATATAATAGACTAGATGAAATTAAAATAACTGTGAAAGTTAATAGACAGGATTGAAAGAATTCAAAAATAATAGATGAAACTGAAAAAAATATGAAAGTTAATAGATGATTTGTTAAATTAACCCAAAGAAAAAGATAAATAAAGAAATCAAGGGAAAGAAAGAAACAATTTTCACAAATCAAAAAAGAAAAAAAAAATCCGAGAACAGTTTCTCAGCTCAACTCCAACGACTAACAGAGTAGGGGGAAGGAAGATTTTTTCGAAACACAAATTAGCAAAGGTTAAATGTCAACTTTAGTCCCTCAACTTTAGAAATTTACGTAATTTTATCCCTCAACTATTTAATATTTGATATTTAATTTATGAAAATATATATTTATACCAATAAATCAGAAACGGTACGCAAAAAAATTTCGATATCTGATACGTACTATTTCAGGAGCAAAATTGATACACATACCAATACGATATTGATTACTTTGGTTTGGGTTGAACTTGGGTTTAGTGTTTTGGGGCTCATTTTTTATGGAGTTGGGTCATTTGAGATGGGTTGGAGATGTAAATTGGCTTAGCTTCAACACTTTTGTATGATTTTTGTAATTTAACCTTGAACTTTAAATTCTTTCAATTGAATCTCCTTTCTTTAGACCTGGCAAATAGGTTGAATTGGGTGGGTTTGGATTGGGTCATTTTGGATCCCAAGTTGTTCAGATTGGGTCATTTCAGGTGTTAAGTTAAAGAGGTTGACCTATGAACCATGACCCACGACTCATGACCCATTCACACAGGTTTCGAATTGGGTCGGATAGACACAACTTTTAAAAAATTAAAATTAAAATTAAAATTAAAATTTTTCTATATTTTTCTCTATTTTTCTTTAACAAAATCTAATACTAATTAGCTATTTAGTTAAAAAAATTATTACTAATTAACTATTTAGTTAGAAAACTTTATTAAACATTAATTTTCATTTCATAATTCAATTTTTTTCCAATCTCAAGAAAAGAAAAGGAAAAGATTAGTGATTATATAGGTGGAACTAAAATATATATCAAATATATAATACCTATACAATATTTAGAATTCATAATTTTATAAAGGTATTAACCTTCATTAAAAGAAAAGACATGAAGGATTAGAGTTCAAAAAACAAATCCAATATATATATTAATATCTAGTGCCTATTCAATATTTATAAGAGTATTATACAAAAAATACAGTTTTATTCAATATTGAGGAGGGCATTATACAAAAATATAGCCTTATTCAATATTAAAGTTTAAAAGGAAAATCCAAAATATGTCTAACCAAATACAAGAAGAAATTGGATCAGAATTGACTTTTATTAATTAGAAACAAATTATTAATTAAAAACAAATTAACACTAAGAACGGACCTTGATGTTCTTGATATTCTTGTCTTTGTACTTTTAATGGTTATAAGGGTACCTCAACCACTGGATTTTAATTTTCAGTAGACATTCTTATTTTTTGTTTTAAAAGAAATTATCTTTTTTATGATGTTATATGACATAACTCATTATATGCCACAACTCATTATATGTCACATAATCTAATTTTTTACGCAAGTGCCACCAAAGAGAAGGATTAAAGAGCTTGAGATGAAGAAAGGGAGAGCAAGAGTGGAGAAGAGGAAAAGTTGAGAGAAAGTGAAATTGATGAAAGGTTAGGATTTGAGTATTTTATTTATTTCTACTTTTAGGATTAGGAAATTAGAAATTTAACATTAATTTTTAAGTAATCTAATAAAAATGAATAAAAAAAAGTTCAGGTCATTTCAGATGATCCGATCCACTCGTGACCCAACTCATTTGGGTTCGAATAATTTCAGTCTGGATTATTTCAAATTTCGGATTAACACATAAAACCCATGACCCCACCCATAACGGATGGATTGGGTCGGATTTTCAGATTGGGTCTAATTTTGCCAAGTCTACCTTTCTTAAGTTTCTTTTTTCCAATTTCTTGAGTTTCTTTTTCCAATTTCTTGAGTTTCTTCTTCTTGCATTTAGTACCTGAAACAAAAATAAAGATATATTAGTTAAAGAAAAGAGAAAAATTCATATTTTTTAAGTTTTCGTGTTTGTTTTGGCCTTTTATAAATTTTTATGATTTTTTTATTAATTTTATGATTTATATATATATTTGATAAAAATTTGAGTTATGACACAAGTAACATGTCGATATCTACTTATATTATTAAAGAAAAGAGAAAAATTCATATTTTTATAT